TACAGTTTCCGTATTACCACATTCAATCAATACGATATGGTTACTATTACCGTATTACCACATTCCACCAATGCAGTATGGTTACTATTACCCTATTACCACATTCCACCAATGCGATATGGTTACTATCACCGTATTATTACATTCCACCAATGGGGTATGGCTACTGTTTCCGAATTACCACATTCAATCAATGCGATATGGTTACTATTACCGTATTACCACATTCAATCAATGCGGTATGATTACTATTACCGTATTACCACATTCCACCAATGCGGTATGGTTACTATCACCGTATTATTACATTCCACCAATGCGGATGGCTACTGTTTACGTATTACCACATTCAGTCAATGCGATATGGTTACTATTACCGTATTACCACATTCCACCAATGCGGTATGGTTACTATTACCGTATTACCACATTCCACCAATGCGGTATGATTACTATTACCGTATTACCACATTCCATCAATGCGGTATGGTTGCTATTACCCTATTATCACATTCCATCAATGCGATATGATTACTATTACCGTATTAGCACATTCCATCAATGCGGTATGGTTGCTATTACCGTATTACCACATTCCACCAATGCGGTATGGTTGCTATTACCGTATTACCACATTCCATCAATGCGGTATGGTTATTATTACCGTATTACCACAGTCCACCAATGCGGTATGGTCACTATTACCGTATTATCACATTCCGCCAATGCGGTATGGTTACTATTACCGTATTACCACATTCCACCAATGCGGTATGGTTGCTATTACCCTATTACCACATTCCATCAATGCAGTATGATTACTATTACCGTATTACCACATTCCACCAATGCGGTATGGTTATTATTACCGTATTACCACAGTCCACCAATGCGGTATGGTCACTATTACCGTATTATCACATTCCGCCAATGCGGTATGGTTACTATTTCCGTATTACCACATTCCACCAATGCGGTATGGTTGCTATTACCCTATTACCACATTCCATCAATGCAGTATGATTACTATTACCGTATTACCACATTCCATCAATGCGGTATGGTTATTATTACCATATTACCACATTCCACCAATGCGGTATGGTCACTGTTACTGTATTACCACAGTCCACCAATGCGGTATGGTCACTATTACCGTATTATCACATTCCGCCAATGCGGTATGGTTACTATTACCGTATTACCACATTTCATCAATGCGGTATGGTTGCTATTACCCTATTACCACATTCCATCAATGCGGTATGGTTACTATTACCGTATTACCACATTCCACCAATGCGGTATGGTCACTGTTACCGTATTACCACATTCCACCAATGCGGTATGGTCACTGTTACCGTATTACCACATTCCAACAATGCCGTATGGTCACTGTTACCGTATTACCACATTCCGTCAATGCGGTATGGTTACTATTACCGTATTACCATATTCCACCAATGTGGTATGGTTACTGTGTGTATTGTCACTATTACCGTATTACCACATTCCGTCAATGCGGTATGGTTACTATTACCGTATTACCACATTCCACCAATGTGGTATGGTTACTGTGCGTATTGTCACTATTACCGTATTACCACATTCCACCAATGCCGTATGGTCACTATTACCGTATTACCACATTCCACCAATGCAGTATGGTTTCCATTACCGTATTACAAGATTCCACCAATGCAGTATGATTTCCATTACCGTATTGCAAGATTCCACCAATGCGGCATGGTTACTATTACCGTATTACAACATTCCACCAATGCTTGCCAGCGCTATGGCTTTTAATTCAGTGCACCATCGCTGTCCAATGAGTTAATTCAGTTCATATACTAATACGGTGGCTGACGGCATTTGGTTTTTTCAGCTTGCATGACACCCACGCTAGGTTTTTTTCTACTTCGAGTGTGCACTCCTGTCACCCAATCGACCAATTTTACATTTATATAACTATTTAATCGTTTCGTTTCTTCCATAGTAATTGGTGAACTACTATGACCATCTACGACATCTACGACAAGTTTCATGAAGAACTACGCAGGTTATGCCTTGTTAAAGAATTCATATTTAGAATATTGTATATTTATGTATGTGTATAAGTCTTCAACAATTCCCCGCGAACATTCAGCGAAAAAAAATGAAAAAAAAATGACTATTTAAGACAGAGCTTGTAGAAAATTCGTTTTCAATAGTTACTGTTTATAAACATAAAATATTAAACTACTTATAAAATATGGAACGGCTTTTCTGAAAGCACTGTAACATATATGTTACCAGCGATAAAAATCAGTCGGAAAAAGTATTGTCTGTATAAAGAACGAATAAAATTACGCAAATGTATTTGTATAATATAGCAATGACAATTTGATTGCATTCAGTACACTACACAGCATACATAAGACGATCGAATGTAGAATTCCCATGTTTCAATGTTGGTAGATACCACAAAATGAAACAATTGGATCTCGAATTTCCGATTCTAAACAAAACAGCGGCCCATCTCAATATATTATTGTCGAGTGCCTTCCATTATAACGCCAATTACTTTGCCCACTGGATGAAGGAGATAGCTATGTAGGAATTCTTGTAATATTCAGATACGAATTCAAATAATACTCTGTTGGTTTTTCGGTGAATGCATTGCTACTCTGAATAGACTAATTGATGAAAATTGTGTTTTTTTATTTTCATTTGTAATGCATCAAATTACGTGTTTGGAAGAGGTGAGACACCAACTTTAGCCTATCAATAGATTTGCTGCTAGGTCGGTTAAAAGTCTACTGATTAAAGCGGAAACACATATTGATCAATAAAATACGTAACTGCAAAGAACATACTCCAGTGGTCGAGCCGGACGCACCTCTCACACTTTAGACTGAATTAAAATCCAACCTCACTTAAACCTTACTTGGATTTCTTCAACTCGATACTTGATACGACGTGACTACAAACACAATTAATATGTGATACATTTTATTGCAACCACACGTTACAAACTTGAATAATGACAAAATACGCCCAGGGATGACAGCCACGTGGTATCGGACACACGTAGACAAATGTTGACTCGAAAAACCATATCCGCCAATATTTGTCATGCCATTCGTAGTATAAATAAAAAGTTTTCACAGCCAACAGCATTCATTTTCAGATATTATGAATAAGTTTTATTCCAAACCTGATCAGTGTCACGGCATAGACAAAATGGAATCATCTCTAAACACGTCCAACAATTACTAAATTACTGGTATCACACACTAGCCTATAATCACATTATCAAATCGATGTTGTGATCGTTCGACGAAAGGAATATACATGCTGCCAACCAGACTCAGAATGCCGTCCCCAAAGTTCAAATTTGATACAATCGAAAATAGTATCTTCCACCTAAAATGCCAAAAATATTTGCCAAAAATAGAGAATTTGAAGTTATCATGAGATGAAAAGATCCGACAGAGATCTACCCAAGGTACCCGAAAGTATCAATGGAATTTAGCTCATAATTGTACATAAATTACAAAAATATTCGCAAAAAATTGAGAATTGAAGATACATGTATCAAGAAATGAATAAATCCGACAGAAATGTACCCAAAATACCCACATGCCAATTACCAATTATTTGTAAGCGATTTTCTTGCATTTACAATTTTATCACACTTATGATGAACTGTTGCCACCATAAATACAATGTGTTTGTGAATATTAAGAAGGTCAAAAATGTTCTTGAAATAATCAAATAAAAGAAAATATGCTAATTCGATAATTCGAGATCTCGAAACTTACCATTTAAATCAAGTTTATATCGATGAGTTTAGTTAAATGCTTGTACCAGTTCTCTTGTTGTCTATCAATTTATATTACTCAAACATTGTAATAAGAGCAGCTTACATATAGACAAACCAACTTGATCATCAACGAATACAGCTTACTGTAACGAGATCATCAGAGCCACACAGTATCTATTCATTTGTTCATCAACAAACACAGTTGTTTACTGTAACGAGATCATCAGACCTACGCAGTATCCAGCTGTCGGTGCATCAGGTGCCAGCTCACTATAGAACCCACACTCCTAAGCAAATTTATGTGTTTTAAACTATAGTTTATTATTGCAAAGACACTAGAAAAGAGTGTCTTTGATTATTGCGAATATACTCTTCAATGTATAAAATGAGTTACGATATTTCCCCTACTTCATACACTTGACTGAAACCACAACCATATCACCCTTTAACCTGGCTCAAAACATCCGTCCGATATTACCTTTGGCACAATATATTTTGAAATCATAAATTAGCACGTGTAGTGTTTTATCTTGATACTACAGCGTGTATATTTTGTCTATTGATTACGTCAATTACAAGATTAAACGAAAACGACGCGAAAAATATACTTACAGAAAATAGTTAATTGGTGTTGAGATGTATACATTCTGAACATTGAGAGATTTCTACCAAACATTGTAACCTATTTACATCCGGCCGACTATATAGTAGGGTGGTTTTGGATTAGATTTGTTGGAATTTGTGTGTGTTTGTTTTTAACTAAACATCAACAAATGTGGGAAATGTCACCTATTTCTTAAATTGATCGCATCTAATACATCTTCGCATATTAAACAAGCTGTAATTATCTTATATTTTATTCAGCTGTGTGACGTAAGAAATAGCGTCACCATGTGGAACATGTTTAAGCAGGAAAGCTGATCTTTCTAAGAATTCTATATTTTAAAATATGATAGATGGTAATTCAAAATATTGTAGTTTTTATTTATGCCCGACAGTGGTGTTTCAGGAGTATGAATATCTCCATGGTGTAACTATTTCTTTACCAATTGTTTACATCGAAATTGAACTTGGTAGACATTTTATTATTATTGACAAGTTTCAAAATTTTAAATTTTACTTTACGTGGAACAACTAACATAAAACCACTTGCTTATATTGCTTCAAAACTGATTTAATATGCAAATTAGCTAATTAACATAAGTACATATGCAGTTAAATTTCAAAGTACTGTTAGACATTCTACTTTAACAGTATGTACACAATGAGTAAATTTGGGTTAGAATATCAAAAAAAATGCTAAAATCAACACGTGTAAACAACTTTGAAAGTTATTACTGTTCAACTACAAACATTATGCATGTATCAAGCTTTGACCAATTTGAGCAACAAAACGTGCTGAAAGTTGTTAATTAGTATGCAAATTATCTGATTAACATATACAGATTATTTAGTAAATAGTATTCGACATTCAAAATCACCAGAATGCATGTACTAAGTTTTAACATATTTTTGCCTACTGGATATCTACAAAATATGTTGAAAATTTGCTAATATAATTAAACGGTAGTTGGCATATAGTTTTATCCCGGTCTCGTTTCTCAGTTCTCGAGTCATCCAGTACTATGATTCAAAATAATTCGCCGCCTTAGTGCTACAGTTTTGATAACTCTGACCGGTGAACTACAAGGGATGATTCGATGTCACTGATCGTTGCACATCCTGGAAAAAAATATGCAAATTATTTTTAACAATATCATATGCTAAAATAAATAATAAAAGTAGAACTATTTCACTTTCATTATAGTCACATTTCAATATCTAGTAAACTGACATTTTACTCTCACTTACTCAAATTAAAACCCAGAAGAGCTAAATATCATTCTCCCAATCCATACAACTTTAAGGACATTTAAATGGAAAGTCCTGTATAAAAATTATACAGAGGACATTTGTGAATAAAACATTGTATACAACTAAAATAAAACATACCTGATAATGCCATTGCTAAACTCAACTCGTTCTTTAAAATTTGAAGAACCTGGGTAGCTCCTACCTCAGCCTTTATGAAGAATAGTAAGGAAATAAATCGAATTAGGTGAGCATGATCGGCAAATTTATTCTTTAAGTCACTGGAAATTATGACGTGTTGCGATCTTACCGCGTATACCAATCCGTATATGATTGGTCTTCCAACGAACACAGCCCTAGCTCCCAATGCTAATGCCTTTATGACGTCAGTACCAGTTCGCACACCACCGTCTAAATATACTTCTAGTTGTCCATTCACTGATTTCACTATTTGCGGTAACACTTCAATCTGAATAGAAACATTTGGAAAGCTGAACACATTTGCAGATAAAATAATATAAATATCATAACAATCAAATCATTTATAATTTGACTTACAACGTCTTGTATATGCTATTACTGAATTCAAGAATTTGTGATATTCATATACTTGTATTCGTGATTTAATTCCAAGTAATTAAGAACCAGCCAGCATCTAAATTTATTGTTATTTCAAAAGAAACCTTCATAGTGGTAATAACTAATTTAGTAATTAAGTAAGTAAATAATTCACCAGGCACAAAGTTCTGATATTGTTGCAAGTAGAACGTACTATACGAAGTCATGAAAGGTCTGAAATGTCGTGAAATCGAAGTTGTATTAATATGCATCAGTAATACAGCGAATTTGGTGACATTCCCTCACAAACAGAAAGGGACCATGTAGGTGTTACAGTACTACTAATTCAATTAAGTATTTGTCAATCATACCGTTGCTGGCACTGTGTCTAATTGCCGTCCTCCATGGTTTGATACAATTATACCATCTATTTTGTGTTTCACGGCAAGCAGTGCATCTTCTGGGCTTAGAATTCCTTTCAGAACTATTGGTAGTTTTGTGATTGATCGCATCCATGCGATGCAATCCCATGTCAACGCCGAGTCAAGCATATTACCTGCACCGCCGTAATTTGATGTTACCTATCGCAAACAAATAAAACATCATATTGCACTGTGTTTTACTTTGCACCGTATTACGCTACACTAGCACTAGCACCAGCACCAGCACCACGTACACCACACCACACCACACCACATCACACCACACCACACCACACAACACCACACAACACCACACCACACTACTTGATTTGTTTTCTCCTCACCCTATAGCGTTCTGGTAGATGCACCATTTGTATGTGTGATGGAGGTGTAAATCCTCCATGATAAATATCGATTCTTCTCTTCCCCGTCACTGGAACATCAACTGTTAACACCAATGCTTCAAACCCAGCCATTTCAGCTCTTTTTATCAAATCAGCAGACAACTCCCGAGTATGCCAGATATACAACTGGAACCATTTCAACGCCCCAGGTCCGGCAGCTGCTACGTTTTCTAGCGATGTATTTGAGAAGGTGCTGAGCATCATGCAAGTGCCCATCGCCTTTGCAGCTGGAAAATGGAATAGAATCGATAACATTGTTACAACCTATATTGTCAATACAATACTTCAAACAAGATTATGAAAATCTTTGAAAGTTGATTTTGTTAATATGAATATCTGTCATCGAACAAAGGAAGCTATTTGAACTTGTTATTCGTTTTATTTAGAATTTCACAAATATAGAAAGTTGTTTACCTTTTGCTGTGCATATTTCTCCATCTGAACAAGCAAGCTTGTGATGTGCACTTGCCGCGATGCACACTGGGAAATGTATATGGTTACCAAGAATTGTTGTTGACAAGTCTCGCTTTGAGACATCTCTTAACACTCTTGGCAATATCTTTAACCTTAACAAAAAAGGAAAACGATCATAGCGATAAGTTTACTGTGAGTATTATATATGTTACTCTTCATGACTCACATTTTGAATCTTGGTATTTTTTTTCGTTCTAGACATCACAAATTAATGACAATGAATTAAAACTTTCCTTATCAGAAACAAAGTTCTGACGGACATTTCCATGTTATAGTTGCTTCAAAATTGATCATTGGACGAACTACGCAAATTGTTCATGCAATTAGGGAATACTGTTATTTTTATAAATCAGAATCACAGGTTTTTATGATGTCATAGCCTACGCTATCAAACTATAAACCTCTATTCACGAGTACATGTGCATTAAAAAAGCCCAAAATTTGTTTCATTCTGATTATGGTGATTTATAACAACAATAATGATCCCCGCCCCATTGTCATCAAGGATCTAGACGCGATATCGTGATCTTGTTTCACTTCACGAGAAGATGGCACCTGTCAATGGGAACCATTTCAAAGTAGAAGTCTTATTTCCACACGTTCGGAGATCTCAGTGCCAAGTCTCTTTTGGCATTAGTGATTACAGTTTCCGAGTTTGTGGATCGTCTCCCTATCACAATCGGAATTTTTGTTGCGGGGGAGATTCAAATGATTCACACTGTGCGAAGAACCATTGCTGAGAATAACCTATGGCATATCTAGTATGTGTGTATGCAGATATAACAAAAGTCATTAGACTCATTCGACCATATGGAGACGAGTTCAAACGAAAAACTGATCTTCAGGACACATTATACGAATGGCAATTAAATTCGGCCTATTGTGTGAGCTGATAAGTCCCTGGGAACTGGAGCATATGGCTATTGTATCCAAGCATAAGAATTAAATTATTATATTGTTCTGCCAGTCGTAGCTTGACGCAAAAGTGGTAACCTCATCGGTACTAAACGAACTTGCAGGAACTAGAGACTTGGCCACCTGTAGAATTTTCTAAGAAAGATGTCCTGAGCAGGGAATGTTATGGTCAGAGAATTACATTTTGATGTTACTGACTTGCACATCATTTACAAACAAGTTTCAGTTTATGTTATGTTATGTTAGAATGCAATCATTAGTTTCTTTCTAAGTAACACTGATTTAGGTCAATATGATATCATCCAACGTGAAATCAATGAATACAATAAAAACTGGTTAGGCAGTCATTCGGAAAAACCCACAATGATGAAATGGATACTCAGATAATAAATTTGATTGAGCTGTTATTCATGAGTCACCCCATAGTCGTCATGATTGGTCCCTTTCACCTAGGAAGTTGAATCAACACTGATATGTAAAAAAATAACCAAATTACCAGATGAATATGTGTCCCTAGAAAAGTGAAAAGATTAGTTGTAATGGGTGTAGCTGTTTTGTCCGCCATAAACATATTGGTTTAAGCATATTGGTTTAATGCATATGAGTTATGGCTGCAGTGTTATACAATACACAAACACTCCATGCAGGCCGAATAACATATAGGAACCTAGAATGCATTAGCAAAGACACTGAGGGAAAAGTAATATGGGTGTTTGGCAGGCCTAGTGTGATGATGTTTTTTAAAAACTTATGAAAACTTTGAAAACTGAATAAGGTTTTTAAATGCTTGAGAGATGACAATTTTAAGATGTATCACTGCACAGAGCGGATAAGTGTCAACTAAGAGCTCAATTTGTATACATTGTAGTTAGCCAACTACTCGAATTTAAGGTTTTGAGTTTTCTGGCATTTGGAAAATTTAAATGTGTGATGTACTGGTGATTACCGGTGATTTTTTCACCATGATGCCAAGCGAGAATATATTCTGACCACGATTGGCATTTAGAATCACATAACAAATCAACGTTTATGAGGTTGGGCAAATCAACTTTATATATTTCCCAAAGATGTCATCAGTGTATGACGAATGACAATTTGATTAGCTAGATAGGTAACACAAAGTTGAGTCACTGGAAGGCATTTATCGATGTCAGTTCACAAGATTCTACAAGATAATCACCCTGCAGCTGCTGTCTGATAATCAGATAAGAAATACAAGCAACACAAGACGTCTAGTCTGGAATTTATCCCAAAGACGTCAGAAATAGCTAGTCATTTGCGAAATACGTAAAGGGATCAAAATAACACAAAATACTAAAACTTGCTGCAGGGTGTGAAGTATACTGTACTACCGGTATATTGTAATTGCGTTATCTTTTATCTTGGTTTTCTCATCGCGTGTGCAAATAAATATTTTATAATATAAAAGAGAAATTCAAATCCAAATTGATTTATTGATTAATCAAGACGATCAAGTGGGAAAGTTTTTTCTTGTTATCAATCCTAATAATGTAAGTAATATGACACAAAGCCAGGGCCAGTTTCCTTGATCAGCTTTTATGCTATTATAGATTAGAGGCCATTCACGTATTCATGTAATTTACATATAGCATTTAAAAAAAAATAATTTAAGAATTTATTCATGATTTATTTTCAATATTGAATGGTGTAGATTAGGTGCGATTATAAATCGGTGTAATTCGTCAGATTGGTCCAGAAGAAAAACACTGGTGAATCAAAATAACAATAGTGAGAGACAATTGTGAGTGAAAATAACAATAGTGAGAAACAATTGTGAGTCAGAATAACAATAGTGAGAGACAATTGTGAATGAAAATAACAATAGTGAGAGATAACTGTGAGTGAAAATAACAATAGCGGGAGACAATTGCGAGTCAGAATAACAATAGTGAGTCAGAATAACTATTGTAATGGACAACTGTGAGTCAGAATAACAATAGTAAGAGACAATTGTGAGTGAAAATAACAATAGTGAGAGACAATCGTGAGTCAGTATAACAATAGTGAGAGACAACTGTGAGTGAAAATAACAATAGTGAGAGACAACTGTAAGTGAAAATAACAATAGTGAGAGACAACTGTGAGTGAAAATAACAATAGTGAGAGACAATTGTGAGTCAGAATAACAATAGTGAGAGACAACTGTAAGTGAAAATAACAACAGTGAGAGACAACTGTGAGTGAAAATAACAATAGTGAGAGACAATTGTGAGTCAGAATAACAACAGTGAGTCATAATAACTATTGTGATAGACAACTGTGAGTCAGAATAACTATTGTGATAGACAAATGTGAGTCAGAATAACAACAGTAAGAGACAATTGTGAGTGAAAATAACAATAGTGAGAGACAACTGTGAGTGAAAAAAACAATAGTGAGAGACAACTGTGAGTGAAAATAACAATAGTGAAAGACAACTGTGAGTAAAAATAACAATAGTGGAACAAATGTGAGTCAGAATAACAATACTGAGTCAGAATAACTATTGTGATAGACAACTGTGAGTCAGAATAACAATAGTAAGAGACAATTGTGAATGAAAATAACAATAGTGAGAGAAAACTGTGAGTGAAAATAACAATAGTGAGAGACAATTGTGAGTCAGAATAACAATAGTGAGTCAGAATAACTATTGTGATAGACAACTGTGAGTCAGAATAACAATAGTACGAGACAACTGTGAGTGAAAATAACAATAGTGAGAGACAATTGTGAGTCAGAATAACAATAGTGAGTCAGAATAACTATTGTGATAGACAACTGTGAGTCAGAATAACAATAGTAAGAGACAATTGTGAGTGAAAATAACAATAGTGAGAGACAATTGTGAGTCAGAATAACAATAATGAGAAACAAATGTGAGTCAAAATAACTACAGTGAGAAACAAAAAACGAGTCAGAATAATAATAGCGAGAGGCAGCTGTGAGTCAAAATAACTACAGTGAGAAACAAAAACGAGTCAGAATAACAATAGTGAGTCAGAATAACTATTGTGATAGACAACTGTGAGTCAGAATAACAATAGTAAGAGACAATTGTGAGTGAAAATAACAATAGTGAGAGACAATCGTGAGTCAGTATAACAATAGTGAGAGACAACTGTGAGTGAAAATAACAATAGTGA